GTGATTTGTCTTGTCGACGGACATAATGAATGCAAAAAAAAAAAAAAAAAAAAAAAAAAAAAAAAAAAAAAAAAAAAAAAAAAAAAAAAAAAAGAAGACCCCGGAAAGCACAACCAAGTAAGGCAGCCAAAGACGCCAAAGCAACGATCTCGGATCAAATGCAGTCCCGGTTTCTTATCGCCCGGAGCCGCGGTCGACCCTGGCGAAAAAAAGATCTGTCTTGCATCCAGCGCCCACCGTGCCTGTCTTCACGGGACGATCTCCATCCGTATATATAATTGACCTACCTGTGTATTGTATCATCTTTGGTCTCTGTTCGTCTAATTCATTGGGGCTGTCCTTGCACGGTCCTGAACAGTAAGAGGACAGCGAGGGACCGAGTGACTCGAGGGGGGATCCCGCCGTGACCAAGTCCGATCCCGATTTGAACTGCGGAACACCCGGTGGCTGCGGAGAAACACACTCGAGCGACTGCTGCCCGCTCTCGACATTCCACTGCTTCGGTGGCTTTGCTATTGGCACGTCTTGTGAAGGTGCATTTATCTCTCTCTTCATCCCCATTGGAGGAACCTGGCGTCCCCTAGCATACAGAGCTGATATGATTCATGCCTGCAGAGTCCTCCAGGGTAGTCCGTCCGATCCATGGATTCCTACTTGATCTGCAGTTGACCTGCTGAACATCTTTATCGTCTCCCTCTCTCTAACATTGGGAGATTAACTGTACTACTCTTACCCACACTCCTTCACCCATCTCGATTGGGAGCCTCACTCTAGGCTGAGCCAGGATAGGCTTCACGTGCGAGCTGTGACACTTGTCTCACTACGTTCATTTTAAGTACCCCCACACAATGGCTAGCGTACTCTCGATATCATTACTTTCTGAGGCCGAATATGGCTGCGGTATGTGAAGCTCATTGCACAGAGCTGTTTCCCGAACCCTTCTGGCCCCTTTACTGACCTGATAACAGAGCATCTGGCCACACAAATGGGGCAGGATGTGAGCACTGCAGAGCAGTTCAAGAACGCTTTTATCAAAGCGCATAATTCATTAGGCCATCTTCAGCGATCGATAGATTCATCAAAGCAGAACGGCCGTCTTAAATCCAAGGACTTTCTGAAACCAAAGTACACTTGCTTGACGTGCGGTGAAGCGATGCCGATGGGCGGCCGGAAAGCCCATACCGAGAAGACTAGCCATCAGTTCTGTAGGTGATTCTTGCCTTTACCTTATCGATGTTTACTAACAGTGTTCGAGACATGGATTCGCGAGCCCGCACAGTATATTGCCAGGCTTGTGGAGATTTCGTCTATGACCACGGCCTCGAACGACTTCGGTGCTCAACAACAGAAAGTGCTCTTCAAGGTTAGCGTCTGACCTACTCTCGCGCATGTTATAGCACTAACACACCAAAGTCGCCAAGAAACGTCGCTTCAGCGATAGCTCTGCGGACGAACTTTATATTCGGAGCAATGCCAGCAAGCGTCCTTGCGCTAAGCAAGGTGTCAGGGGCTTGTTCAACCTGGGGCAAACCTGCTATCTCAATGTCATCCTCCAGACCCTTCTGCACGACCCAATACTTAACACTTATTTCCTTGGGAACGGTCATCAGCCCCACGACTGCACTGCTTCTGACTGCGTAGGATGTGCAGTTGCGGAGGCCTTCGCGGATTTCAACAGCAGTGACAAACCGGAAGGATTCGCGGCTCTCAATCTTCTTCTAGCATCATGGCGTGCAAGTTCGGTATGTTACCGCAGACATTTATTTCTGACAAGCGGTGCTAATTGCCAAAATTCAGACTTTGGCAGGGTATCAACAACAAGACGCACACGAGTATTACCAATTTCTCGTCGACAAGCTTCACCTTAGTACGGAGAACCACCGGGAAGGCCATGAAAAGGGGTGTCCTTGCTTCTTCCACAAGACCTTCTACGGCAAGCTCCGAAGCAGCGTGACTTGCGATAAGTGTGGCAATGTCACACGAACGGATGATCCTATGGTGGATCTCAGTCTCGATGTTCAAGTGCAGGCGAAGAAACGCGCCATGGGTGGCACAGGAGTTTCGTCGACGCCTACCCTGAGCGGATGTCTGGAGAGCTACACGTCTCCGGAGAAACTAATGGCAGGCGTGTACAACTGCAGTCACTGCGGCGGAACACCACAGAAGGCCACCAAACAACTGCGCATTCGGAAGTTACCCGCCATTCTGTGCATGCAGCTAAAGGTATGTTCCTGCGCAAATTCCCTAGAACCAGACATAGACTTACCCAATACAGCGCTTTGAACACACTTTTTCCGTCTCGGAGAAGCTAGAAGGCAAAATCGACTTTCCACTATCGATCAACATGCTCCCTTATACAACCTGCCCGCAGGCCAAAGTTGACCGGTCCAGATTCGTATATGACCTCTCATCTGCCGTAGTCCACCAAGGCAAACTCGATGCGGGGCATTACTACGTCTACTGCCGCCAGGGCGATGATGTGAGTTACTGACCCGCCCCCAGTTAAACTATTCTCAAACAGCGTTCCTAACTCGAACTTCTCAGTGGGTACTCTTCAACGACGACAAAGTCACCGCCGTCACCGAGGCAGAAGTCCTCAACGCCGACGCGTATCTCCTATTCTACAATCTTCGATCACTGGCTTCTGCGCCGCAATAGAAGCTAGCTACTCACCGTGTACCATCACACCACATCATCACATCACATTGTACTCTGGCGGCTGCCTCATCTTCTCGCATTCGGTTTCTCTTCAGCGACTCGGAGTCCACGGCTAGGAGTTGTATTATTATTGTTTGATTGGCTGGTTGCATGTATGCTCGTGTGGGAGAGTTGTGGTTGGCATCTTCGATCACGGATGCAAGACTGATGCTTGTCGTGTTGTGTTGCGTTTCTTTTCTTTGCTTGCTTTATACGCTCATTCGCTTAGATATAGCGGGTATGTCTGCGGCGTGCATATGCGTCAAGACTACCAGGTATAGTAGGTTGTTAAGGTTGCAGGAGTGGGTATACATTGGCTGAGTGCCTCGCTAGATATGAATGCCGAATACAAAACTGTATGGGTGTTTCAAATACTGGATCTTGATTAACGTATATCAAATCTGGCGCTGCCCTGGACACTAGATACTAGACAGTAGATAGACATCATAGGATGCTTCCATGTGACTCATGATATGATACTCCCAGTCATCTACACTACGCAGATCCTACAGGAACTATCCACCAGAGGGACAAACCCAACTGACTACAGTATCAACCAGACCAGAGCCGCACGATCCCAAAAGACATGCATAACCAGCCCCATACGAATGATACGGTCTCCAGCAGCACCCCTACTACCTCTCACAGGACAAGTGGGGAAAAATCGGCGATATTATCAAGAGATCCTCAATTCCATAGGAAAAATACCGTCCACACCAGCCAACAACCTAAGCCCACCCCCCTCTCTCGTCTCTAACCCAGTCAAATCCCATCTCTTCCTCAATCACACCTAAAAAAGATTAAAGAGGAAATTCCACCATGAACAAATGAAGAAAAAACACCATTTTATTTCATTCCATTGAAAATCAAGCCCGGGTTTCGGATTTCATTTGCGTTTTCGATTTCACAGACACACACGCACACTGGTAAAAGAATATAAGAGGCTACCGTTATCCCCCCCTGTATTTCTTTCTTCCTCCGCTAATCCCCCGACATGGTAATTGTGGGGGATCGTTGGTAAATTTGAGATATTGGGTGGTAATGTGAAATGAGAGAATCGAAAGCGCCACGAGCACGTTTTTAACGAATCATCGTCGTGAATAACGGAAAAATTGGGATCGATGATGATGGGGGATGGAGAGAAGATTCGATTTAACGGTACTGTTTTGGGTGAAATGAGGTGTTAGTTAGGATTCTTTTCTTGGTCTGGTTTTGTGTGGGTGGCGTAAATTGTGGTTTTTGGCTGTCGTTGTCGTAGTGGCATTTCATTTCTCATTTCATTTCATTTCATTCCGATGTTTCATTTCTTCGTTTGTCGCAAAATCCCTTCTCTTTCTTCTCTTTCGATATCGCTCCTCGCCATGCCAATTGCCATTTCGGATATAATGTGATTTGTGGTACTGGTGCTGGAAATATGCATGTGGGTGAATGGTGAAACCAACCTTGTGGAAACCGATGTCAGAGGACTTCTCACGGAAGCACTGACGGCAGATGTTCATCTGTACGCAAAAGAAAAACCAAGTTAGCCATTTATTCCAGCACTCCCGATATTTTCGCATCGCAGTAGATTTCAGTGGTGGATATCCATACCCCGTACTTGCGGATCAGACCGGCGCGGTGGGAGCAGACACGGCTGTATTATTCCAACACACAAAATCAGCACATAACTTCCTTTCACGTTTTCGTTTTCATGTCCTCCATTCGATTCATTTCTCTCCTCCCCGAAACTCCCTTGCCAATTTCACATAAACTATCTCCTCAGGAAAAATCGCAGAATACGCACCAAGAACGGGAACCCTTGCCGAACCTATCCATCACAGATCAATTAGCAACTATAGATATCAGATTTCATCGGCACGGATTTCAACTTACTTGCGGGGCCGGCTGTACCAAACGGACTCGTGAGTCATCTTGAATCTGAGGCGAGAGAAACCTGGGGATGAGACGGTGTTTGGCAGGCGGTTTGTCGTCGCTGGGCGTTGAAGGGGGACGGGGATTCAACGAAAAGGTTAGGGTCGAAATTCCGTTTGTGTGTCTTTCCGGTTTCCGTGATGCGGGCTCGGACCATCTCGCTTGATGGGGGCGCTAAGCCTTGTTGGGATGGGGGATGATTGATTGGGTGCTGGTCATGTGATATGGGTTTGGGGCTATTTTCAACTTTACTACTCCAGACGTCGGGTTCGGGGGAGAGGTTGTTCCGGTGGATGTATATCGATGGTCTTAGACCTGTTCTTACAGGTTATCACGTATAATGGTAAAAGTTTATATTGACTTCTTGCTGCGTATGTATTTTCCTTTTCAGCTCATGTAAATTAATTTAATTAAGATGTCTGCCTGCATTCCATTCTATCTACCACGCCATCACTAACCTCGCTATACTCAATCGCGTAAGTTGAGAGCCCGAAGCAGAATGGCCAACCACAACGAGACACATCTTTTCCACTGGAATGCATATTTCTAAATACATCCCACCTTACTCAGAGATATATACTGCCAAGGCCCTTTTTGCTAGAAACTATATATAGAAGATCATGCTACTCAGCATCCCCACCGACCTTCTTATAACTTACCCTTCCCTTCAATCATACCAAGACAACTTGAACTGCGCTCAATGAGCTCAACAACGCACAATTATCTCTAGTCCAGACTATGGAGACTATGTATAAGCATGCTACTACATCAAGATGCTACATGGACTATTCTTCTAACAGACGGGTTGTAAAGAGGCAGACTACAGACTAGACTACAGGGGTACAGGTGCGGAAATAATCTAGTACTAAGCATAGTTAGTCAATAGTCGCTTAGTATTGGGTAGTTATATTTGTTGCATCTATCCGTGTTAGGTAATACTCTTACCCACTCATGTTCAGATAGGTACATAGATTAGTACTCCATAAGATACCCCCCTCCCTCTCAGGGGAAAGGCATGGCTACATGCATTAAAGGATAAAAGGCAGGCATATAGAACAGACAAAATAGAAAGGGTGAGGAAAGAAAAAAAAAGAAAAAGAGACTTGGGCAAAGAGAAGGGGATAGGAAAAGTAAAGTTACTATTATAGGGGTTTTCATAAGGCTTAGAGCTATCGGTGTAAGGCTGGCTAGGTAAGTAGCTAGCTAGCACATGCGTCAGTTGTGCATTAACTAATGAGACGTTTTGTTGGACGGGCATTGGGGTCAGGATTAGTTAGTATTCGGTTGTCGGTTGGCCTTTCAATGGCCTTATGGAAAAGTTATCCTATCCAATGTACGCTTTGTATAGTAGCTACGAGATCCGTACTATTTCACTTGGGTATTTTACTTATGAGCTGAACCCTAATCGGAGTACTTTGTACAACTAAATCATTATGATCACCACTTCAGAGGGAAGGAATTAGGTCAGATATTCAGGGACAGTTCAAAGGAAGTTCTATTGACCAACGATCAACATAGCAGTAACTACAGAAAGAAAAGCAAGCACAAGCTCGCCTTCTCAAAACCCGAACATCCGAGCTCCGACGTGATAGACTACTGTGTAAGTCACTTGCGTTCGGGATTACCCGCTCTAATGGACCTAATAGGGCTAAGTAGTGGTGATCGCAGCAAGCGCGGTACAGGAGAAGCATCTAGCATCTGTCTAGTAGATGTTATTGGTGCTGTGTGTATAAGCGATTGGTCCGTCTCGCTTGGATCAGTGATGATCATCTATGTACAAAGTAGCAAGGTACTTGTGCCTGGATGGCCATTCCGGGCGCCGATTTTCGGGGGTTTCATTATTGTTAGTACTTAGTAGACATTGGTGTAGTTGATCTCTTATGTCGCGTGAGCTAGTTAATCAGACAAGTAATGTAAAATGTAGCGAAAGGCTGTCTTGTGATAGGGATCATAGACTTGTGACTACTGCAGGACATAATCCATGTCTCGTTTCAGACTGGTAGGGTGGGCTTATGTCTCCCCGCAGTAACCCTCCCTGTTTTTGCGGCATGTTGCGGTGACTGATGGTCACACTTACCTACTTTGAGAGCTATGATCGCGGTGGGTTATGTAGAACACAGTATATGACTGCCATCTTATGTAAGGGGGGTGGTTGGCAATCACTTGACCTTACGTATACTGCGCCTTGCACATTTTTCGGCAAGTTTAACTGAACGAGATGAGTGGGTGAAGGAGGCTGGATAAAAATACTCTGGCTAAGGTGTGTTTTAGTATTAGGTACTATACCTTGTGAGATGGACATGAAGCGAAATGACACTTCAGACCATGTAAGCTGAAGTAGCTATGGAGATTGTCAGAATCAAAAGCCAGTAATGTTCGATATGGTCCTTGACGAGCAAAAAATCTGGGGTAGTAGTTCCCTAGCATACGAAAATGTATAAGAAGAGGGCGTTTCTGAACCGAAGTAAGTGCATAAGTGCCAGCCTGGAAGCTAGAACCCCTAAGCTCTGCCAGATTAGTCGACGATAATTGATCGGGCCATCTAGTTGATAGCCATCGAACCTGCTAGAGAAGAGCTGGCCGTTATAGTTATCCTCGATGTCGCTTAATGAACCGTACCAGCTAGCGTGATAGTCCACGAGCGAATCACAAAGAAACCAGAAACTGTAAAAGGGAGTACCTGAACAGTCTCACCAACCAGGCCAACCGGTTAAAGCGGCACCATCATCGGAGTGAAGCCGGAATTAGCGGCACGGAGATTATGGCCTGCCTAGTATAGTCAAGTGCTGAGCCTTGGTTTGTCTCCGCTTAGAAAAAATGAGCTCTGCGGGCGGCATCCGCCGGCTGTTTTGCGTACCCTTGCCCAATATCAAAAATTTTTCGCCAATCGAACTACTTCGACCAAAGTTGCGGTGGAATCCACATGGAAGGAAAAGTCTCCGAGTTTATGAGCCTGATCAAGAAATTGATTGGGCGATGCATCGGAAATGGTCCGTCCAACCACTAGTACTACCTACCTAAGGACCTACACATGCGATGACCTGTAAGCTGAACGCCATATGTAAGAATGGTAAACCCTGGATGGCGACATGTCAACATGACAGTTGTAGTCTAGCCCTCCCATCGATGACGGAGATTGAAACGCGGCAGCCTTCGTGCAAATGCCGCCAGACAAAGGCAGGGAAACCTGAAGAGTGTAAAGTAAGCCGATTGAGCCGGATGTGCCGAACGCGAGGTCATGGGATCGGGTCGATCTTATCAGGCCTAATTTGTATGGCGGGTCCCATTTGGTTTGTGTGTCGGCTTGACAGCACGGATGTCCAGCAGTCCAATATGGCAATGATTGCTGCGCAGTCTGATCCTGTTGGTAGATAGACTCACCAGGACAGTGGCATTCACTAAAGGACAATAGTAACATCCACTTTCATTCTCATCTTCATAGACAATTGTAACCATGTTGTGGATTTTACTTCTATCGAGCAATCTGGAGGAACCATGCCATGACGTCAACGACAAGACCGCAATATGTATCCGATCTTTCTTCACGACGAGCGTCGCGTCATGAGCGATGAGTCAGTGCTGGTCATACGATGCATAAGTACGGGTGCGGTGGGAAAGGGCCAGCCAGGCCTGAAAACGGTCAAAGAAAAAAAAAAAAAAAAGTGGATAATATACTTATAAAACTTAACTAGAGAAAGAGGCTCGACAATGATTGAATGGTTCAATGCGAGAGATCTCCGGGAAGGACAGGTGTGTCTGTAGACGGGAGGTGCGTGGATGTAAGAAAAGGTGACGAGAAGCGCATGGACGGTGTTTATGCCGCCCGGGCAGTTCATACAGTACGGAAGAGCGCGGATGCGGATTGTGATTCTCGCCCGGTGATGCCAAGCCACGATCGTCGTTGGGTTGTCAGAAGGGAGCAAAAGGGCGATAGATACTGGCAGAATCATTACACGGGCACGGACAGGGCTAGCAATCACTAGCAAACAGCCCAACGTGCGAGGCCCGCCGGGTGGGGTTTGCTTCCGAGGGAAGAGGGATGCCACTAAAGGATGCCACTAAAGCCGGCAGAGATCGACGCTTGTTGGTGGTCTGTCTACTTAACAAACGTAGATACACAAGGTAGCTCGATATAAGGATTAAGATCGAGTACTATTGTAATTGAGTACTCTAAGACTCATATGTGGCGGCTGTGTTGGTTACACCACTGTTGCACAATCATCGTGCTAATGAACATCTCTCTGGCAATTAGTTCATGGTCGCTTGTCAGTCTAACCTGTTTGTTGTTGTATAGATGCGATCGTCGCCAAAACCCTACTAAAAGGCCGGTCGGCGCCAGCACATCCGCGGTCTGTACCTGTCCATGGACTCCAGGGCATGCACCGCTCTCCTCGCTTGTAGCACCGACCTTTAGTGCAACCGCCTGCATCGCAACGTCACGCTACACTGGCATGCGCCTGAGTCGACGATCAGCCCACCAGAACCTGGAGATAAAAGTCATGGGCCAGTTGGGTACATTCCAGATGGGCCACTGTTCAACAGGGCTGGACAGCTATCCTTCCATCTTTAGGCACGGCACCGTCTCCTACATCCACTGCAGCTCCTCTGTGCTCATGTAGCTGGTTCCAACACTAATTGGTGCGGAATTGTCCAAAGTAGTAGTCCGTAGGGCGAGAGACAGCTTGCCGTAGATGGCACCGATCGACCTCTGCAGAAAGAGGGGTTATGTTAGTTAGTACAGTAGGTCTTGACTTCAGCTCGCCCTTTGGTCGCGGAGGATACTTCCTGCTTTAGCAGCTCTCCGTCCCAAGACCCCTCCAATTCACAGCTTGCAATAAGCCACCATCATGTCAGAGTATGCCCGTGCTGCTTGCTCGTTCGCGGTCCGTTGCATATGTAGTTGGTACATGGTAGTCGGGGCTGGTGATAGATCGCTCCGCACTATGAACCAACATAACACACTATGGCATCCCCCCTTTCAACAGTCCCCACCAACTCTTTTCTACCGCCGATGTAAGGGGAGATGAAACTGGATGCATGACTGTCCTCTGGTGATGTCGCGGAATCCAATCATATTAAATACTGCGGATTCGACACAGTCTATCCTAAACAACAGCCCCTGGCAGTTCACTCTTCACAAGCTCGAATAGCCGCCGAGACGGAGAGATCTATCTCTCAGTGTGTCACGTACTAAACGCTTCGTAGGCTTATTGCGCACCATCTTACAAGTCGCGGGAAGGCGGGACCTAAGAAATTGGGCGTATCAGGATCCCTGCATTCTGGACTTCTGTTTACATCCCCCGCGATCGAATGACTGCTGCGCCTTCGGGGGGTGCTGTCAGACGGACAGAAAGGGATGGGTAGATACATGGCATGAGCGTCCTGGCATACTAGTACTGATTACAGAGGACGGCGTGGAGACGAGATCGGAGCCAAAGGGCGTACAGGCCACTGCCAGACACGCAGATGAAGGTGGACCGGCATAGTAGTCCCATAGACTTGCAGCCTTGCTGACCATTTTCACCAATAGTGCGAACCTGGGCTTAATGACCCTTCTTTGTGATTCTGGCATCACGAGAAAGTTGTGCTGTCCCGCGGCATTAGTAATATATCCGCGGAGGGGGGCCATGAAGCAGAAGCAGAAAGAAAAAGGCCCGAAAACAGGCGAACAGGATCCCGAAGCGGATGGAGAACAAGAAGGGAGCATCCACTGGTGCGCTCTAGGCCATACGCTAAAAGTCCGGTACCTTGGGATGAGGTCATTTCTCATAGCGCGTCAGCGCACCGTGACCTGGAAGTCGAGTATCTCTCCCGGTCGCTCCGGGCTTCCGAGAACCCAACTCTGCCAAGAGGAGTAAATTTCTTTTTACTTTCCTCTTTTTCCTTTGGAAATACCTTTCCCTAGGCTCTTTTTTTGGTGCCCCTCTTCGGCTTTATTGGAAATTGGTTCATATGATTTGAAGAGACAACATGCACTTCTCTTGTTCCCATTATTAAGTAGTTCCATTTCCCACACAATAAGCTTTGATTCTGAAGAAGGTTCATACCCCAGCAAGATGCATCGTGAGTCAGAGGCTGAGAGCTCGTGATCCCAGGAGGCTTCGCTACAAGTAGTAAGGGAAGTATACGGATTGAGTAGTAGGGGTGATGTTGGAAAGGGAGTAAGATGGAAGGGAGGGATTGGCTGACAGGCGAAAAGATCCCGAGAAAAGTGTAAGTGGATAATAGAATGGAAAAGAAAAATAACATTTTTTGAATGGAAGAGAAAATAAAGTTCCAGGCATTGGAGGCGGTGATTAGTCCAAAAAGAATGATCGGCTCCATCGCTGGATGACTTCGGGAGGCATGAGTGGTGGTACCAGCGTTCTCAGCAAGACACCTCATGATGACGATGAAAGCTCTGAAGGATCGAGCTATATCATGGGCATAGCCTCAACATGGAATCTGAGAGTATCTTGGTAATACTCATCACCCTTATTCTGTGCAAAAAGAGAAAGCAAAACAAAAAGAGGAGACCGAGGTCAAGCAAACAAAGCAGCAGTCAGATCAAAAACCAGACTGGGGAGGTGAACAGCGTCACTCCTGGGAGGCCTTATTACTTTTTTTTTTTTTTTTTTTTTTTTTTTTTTTTTCCTTTTTCCCTTTTTCCCTTTTTCCATTTCCCTGCTAGCGCGAGGGTGCCAGTGAGTAACTCCACTTTCGGCACACGGAGCTTTGGGGAGCTCCAGCAGGATCGCTTGTTTCCACGGCCTCTCGGTCTTGTTGCATCCTATCCCCGCCAGCTCCGAAGGAAGGAGAGCTGCGACCACAAGGCGCGAATGGAAAAGGAAAAAATTAAGTCATGAGTAATGATTAAATAAAAAGTCTCGCGCGACCCTCTCTGGCAATCCTCCCGGTTTTCAGCCTTCCGTCTCGTCCCTCTACCTACCTGTATGGTCCACCGTTGGTCGGTTGGGTTTCCTTGGATTCTTCGCCCATTCTTATACTTATACTTCCTGCCCTCCCTTCCCTTTCCACAACCGTCCGTTGCTTCCATACTTCAGCCCTACAGACCTGTCTGTTCTCCGACGTATTCCCACGTACTGCCCTCCGCCAGGTGGTAGCCGCGCCCATCCGCATCCCAGCTTCCTCCGTACAAATTTCTTCTGCCATCTTGCTTGCGACAAGTGGAGCTGGGAGTTGGCTTGATCTCTTAGTCGTCTCTCCTGCTCGCACTTGACTCCAGTTTGTCGCGCGTCGAAGAGATATACTTTCCCTTTTCTTTTTGGATCTTTCCCGTCCGTAATAATATAGAAGCTCCCCCCTCATGTGGCAGAGAGCTTCCCGTGCCGCATTCGCGGCAGCTTTCCTTCTCGCCTCCGTTGCGAATGCGCTTCCCCACGGAGATGATGAAGCGATGGAAATGGACATGGGTATGGACATGAGTCACAGCGAGTCCACCCAGGAATCGTCTACAGAAGCAGATGACGATTCCCCCATGAGCTACTTCGCGTATGGGAAACACGGCACCGCGATTGCCGTTCACATCGGTCTGATGATTCTCGCATGGTGCTTCATTCTGCCAACAGGTATAGCTCATTCTAACCTATCCTCCACAAAAGCACCGAAAACTAACACTTGCAATAACAGCGGTCATGTTCAGCGTCGCACGGTCACGTTTCGCATTGCCGTCGCAATTCCTTTTCTTGGTATGCAACGCGGTGGGATTGCTCATTGGAATCATCTACAACAGCCAGACCCCCGATTTGTATGAGAACAACGCTCATCACAAGATTGGCTGGATCGCAACCTGGGTCATGAGCGCGCAGGTCATCATGTCATTGATCTTTGCCTATGCTGGCAGAGGCGAGTCGGAGTCGACTTCTTACGAACGGGCAGCGTTCCTTCCCGTTTCTACCGATGAGATGGAGAGCCCCCAGATGTACTCTGGTGGTATCCGCCATTCGTACCGCTGGTCGCGCGACAGTGGACAGGGCACGGAGAGAAACTCCTCTTCCCTCCACAGTCGCCCTGGGTCGCCTTCTTGTGCATCGCCTTCGGATGAGTATGACGGTTTCGAAAAGCCCGAGGATCCGCTCCCCGAACACTCGTCCCAACCGCGCGGTTGGTTCCGCATCCCCTTCGCCGACCGATTCCTTGCCAGTCGTGTACCTCGTATGGTCTCTGCCCGGGCGCTTCGCATTATCTCGACCATCTATGCTGTTATCGACAGAATTATCTTGCCGTTTGGCTTCGTGGCTATCGCGACCGGTGGCGTGACTTATGGTGGCCTTATGGTAAGTCTCTAGTATGGGCCACTTCGTTGATCTTGGCTAACGCGCGTTTGCAGAGAGGCAAGGAGGTCTTCAATGGTCTTGCCCACTTTATCAAAGGAGGTATCTTTTTCTGGTATGGTCTTCTGACTCTGGGACGTATGCTCGGCTGCTGGGCCGACCTGGGCTGGGCCTGGAACGTGAAGCCGTCCAGTCCCATTGTCGGTAAATGGAAGGCCAAGATCCCTACGGGTGAATTCACTGAATCGTTTGTGATCTTCCTCTACGGTGTCACCAACGTTTTCTTGGAGCATCTCACCAGTTGGGGTGGCGCATGGACTGCCACTGACCTTGAGCATGTGTCCATCTCCATCATGTTCTTCGGTGGCGGTCTTTGTGGTATGCTTTTCGAGTCGAAGCGCGTCAAAGGCTGGTTGAACAGCACGGTTCTCCAATACCCCTCTCATATGAGTGCGCACACGTCGACAGATACCGCATGGCAGCTTCCTGACACCCAGGGCGTGTCACTCAACCCCATGCCTGCGCTGGTCATCCTTCTGTTGGGTATGATGATGGGCTCGCACCACCAGGATAGTATGGTATCGACCATGGTGCACAAGCAGTGGGGTAACCTCCTGGTCGGATTTGCACTGGCTCGTGGTATGACCTATGTCATCATGTACCTCAAGCCCCCGACCTCCTACCTTCCATCTCGCCCGCCAACCGAGATCGTCGCTGCTTTCTGCTTGATCTCGGGTGGTTTGGTCTTCATGCTTAGTGTAAGTTCAGCAAAGGAATCACAATTCCTACACAGGACACGTTGGCTAACTCTTAGGATAGACCCGGAGCGTGATTCAAACCCTGGAGTACTATGACCTCGACGCGATGTTTGTGTTCACAGTTACTATGGGACTGACCGCCTTCATCATGTCATGCGAAATTCTCTCCATTGCCCTGAAGGCCTGGGCGGTGAAGCGGGAGTCGCGCCCTGCGCTGCCGCCTTTCCAGTTCCCGGCCTCCGCCTGATTTTATTCATGTCTTCCGTTCTGCCGGACTCCATCTGACTCGAGACGAGTTTGGTGACGACACCGGACAGATGCGCAAAACAAACAAACTCGCCCAAAAAAAAAAACCATCTGCTTTTGATAGCATTATACCCCTTACAACATTTGATTTTCTTCGGCCTGGTGTCGCGACTCGGACATTCGGGTGACGATCATAATACGACCATATATACCACGGCCTTGTCTATGACCCTATTTATCTCTGATGTGCCCCCGTGTTAATGAATGATATCCCTGTGATGGAAGGATAATGAGGAGGTGATTTATGACTTTCCTAGTTCTGCCGACATAATGAAACTACAATATACCATTGTATATGGACTATCTATATTTACTCTTACCTCTATCGTATCAGAACTTCATCTAAGACTAAGCTATAATGCCCCAAGTTAATTCCCCTGAATCCTCTAGGTGCAGATCCCTTCTTCACACTTGAACAGACGGAGGAGGTAGATCCCGGAATTAAAACTCGCTAAATCCGAGCCGCCTGACGAAGCTTAACCAAAAAGCGTGACGCCCGACGTCGGCGAGAATTGCCGGTCGGCAGACTCTCCGGGGGCGTTTTCAAGGTACACGAACCGCCACCCGGCGAATTCTGATAACCCCCACGATGGATATTATTGGTAGCCGACTTGACATCCTTTGCTTGAATGGCTGTAACATAGGCTCATGCGCAATGAATATTATGTCTAGCGGATTTATTGGGCGGTGTCGGACATCCTACCGTGTCATTCAGGCATTAGTAATGGGGTGAGGGGCAGCAAGTGGGGAGGGGCATTTTGGGGAAAGAAGACCGGTTCAGAGTGGATGCTGCTCATTTGAGGCAAAGCCCTGTGGATATATCTAGTCGCCATTCCCTCCCTTGACATCCTTGTCATTAGAACTATCCCATATACCTTTTTTCTATACATCCCTCAAATACACCAACTCTAACCACCCGTCACCATGGCCTCTAACCCTCCCGGAGCTTGCTGTGCCCAGGGCTTCAAGCACGAAGGCACCCCTGTCGGTGAAGTCAAGAAGATCAACAACAGTATGTTATCCGATTAGATCTTTCTAGAACCATGACCCTCTTCTAACACCGTCTTTCCCGAACAGTCGACACCTACATTGTTTACCCCAAGGACAACAAGACCCCCGAGAAGGCTGTCCTCTTCCTGAGCGACATCTTCGGTCTCTTCAACAACGCCAAGCTCCTCGCCGATGAGTTCGCCAACAATGGATACCTGTGTGTCCTCCCCGACCTTTTCAGCGGCGACGCCGTCGACCCCGTCGCCATGGAGTCCGGCAAGTTCGACATTGGTGCCTGGTTCCCCAACCACCAGCCCGCCAACGTCGACCCCATCGTCGAGTCGACCATCAAGTACATCAAGGGAGACTTGGGTGTTAAGCGCATCGGCGCTGTCGGTTACTGCTTCGGTGCCAAGGTAAGTTCGAATCAACTCTTCGAAAGGTATTCTGCGATTGTTTGCTAACGAGGCGTGTTTCCAGTACGTCTGCCGCTTCATGAAGGACGGCCAGGTCGACGTTGGTTTCAACGCCCACCCCTCTTTTGTCACCCACGAGGAGCTTGGTGCCATCCAGGGCCCTCTGTCCATTGCTGCTGCCCGTAAGTGGAATTCTTTATTGAAACGCGTGCGAGGCCGCGCATGCTGACTTGGTTTGAATAGAAATCGACAACATCTTCACCACCCAGCTCCGTCACGAGTCTGAGGAGACCCTCATCAAGACTGGCAAACCCTGGCAGATCAACCTGTACAGCGGTGTCTCCCACGGCTTCGCTGTCCGCGCTGACCTGAGCGTCCCCCACTTTAAGTGGTCCAAGGAGCAGGCTTTCTGCCAGGCCGTCAACTGGTTCAAGCAGTACCTGTAAATGTTTGAGGTAGAGAATTAGCGGCATCTTCTGTACATGTTACCCATTAGTTAGATAATGAACCGGCATGAGGCATGATAATTTCGGTAATCTTCAAAGCGAAAAGAAACATTGTAGAGAGAAGTAAGCGACGAAGTTGGTTACTCTGTAAAGCGTAAAGGAACGATAAGCGTTATCTTCCACGTGACCCCGGAGGATCCGCGCTGGAAAGAGAAAAGGCGAGACCAGATCAGCCTTCAATTTAGAAGCAACCAGATCCAGCCACCCCCGGAAAGCACTAAAGTAGTGCCTCTGCTCTCTTCCCTGGGGCTGTCTGGCCTTATCTTCTAACTTATTGTTTCCCGCTATTTTTCTGCGCTGTTTGGGTTCCATCCGTTGGCTTGTTTCATCTCGGCTCAATTCCCGTCGCGTATACCGGAGTTTGCGTGCATTGCATCCTGTGGCTTCAGAGCGAGTCATTGCCAATGATTCAAAGTTCATAAGTCCTTCATCAAAACCAACAAAAATACCATCTCTCGAATTGTCCTACTTGGTTCCGCTCCTTTCTCTCGGCCCTACGAGACATTCTCAAGCCCTCGTGGCCATTCCATCGCTCCCTAGACTCCTCCAGTCCCGTGTTGTACATCGCATCTCGTCTTCCACGGCGCCTTCATTGATATATTCCGCCTGCGATACTATCGACCTTCATCTATCGTTGTAATAAACTTGCCTTGACATATCGCCTTGCTACGGCCATTCGCACTCGACCATGGCCACTCCCGCTGCCCTTCCGCCGCTACCCTTCAACCCGTCGAGGGTACGATCTTACGTCCTCCGCCTACCGCTTTTCACTCGGCTCGTGCTTCTAGCGATTATTGTATTCTGGCTGCTGGAGCTTCAGACAATCTGGAGTGTGGTACAATGGGGCTCCGTGATACCAGAGGAGGTTGGATTCGGCACTAGTATGTCTCTTCGGGCACACGTGGCCTTGCTTGCAAGTACAGCCAGGTTCTGACTCTTAGGACAGTGTACCGTCTTAACACCTACCCTTTCATCCACTTGGGATTCTTCCATGCCTTCTTGAATATACTGGCGCTCACGCCCTTGTTGGAGCGCTTTGAGGCCGAGCATGGCACATTGACCGCTGTTGCGCTGTTCATTGGGCGTAAGTTTGCTCCTTGGCGTGATCTAGGATGGTTGGACGAATGTGCTAATGGATGTTTGCTTCTCGTTTAGCCCTTTCTACGCTCCCTGCAGGCATTTATATTCTGATTGAGAAGTTTGTTTTGCATAGGAATACTGCGGTCGTGGGTTCAAGGTGAGTGCTCTGTAGCATCTCTGGGTTGTCAGATGGTATCTAATGGGTGATAAGTATCTGGGTCTTCCTTCTCCTGGGCTCCGAGGCCATTCGGACCTTCAAGTCAAACCCCTACTTCAGGTATGTTCGAGCACTAGTCTCTGTCTCAAATTCCGACTAAAGCGGCTTCAGTCTCGGGTCGACCAAGATTCCCACGTGGACCTCGCCCCTGTTCGCTTGCGCTCTTGTCTCGATTCTTGTGCCGAACACCAGTTTTCTTGGCCATCTATGCGCCATCCTGGTTGGATACTTGCGTAAGTAATTGTTCCTCTGTAGACCTCGGTTCGCAGCTAATTTGCTCGACAGTCGGCCTTGGGGTCCTCAAGATTTTCGTTCCCCCGGAGAAGGTTTTGAGATGGATTGAGGGCAAGCTTAACCTACTCGGAAGACTGCCACACTACGTCTCAGTGGATCAGAAGACGTACGGCCGTTATGGTGTTCTTCCTACAACTACCACCGGCGGAGAAAGGGGAACCCCGATGAGCTTCCTCGGCTCATCGCAACGCCTTGGTCCGTGAGGACTAGGGACTACCGCTATACCTAAGTGGATACATTCTTGTGCATATTTAATAAGCATTATACGGCATTCAATAGTATCTCGCAATATTGCGGGAAAGCAAATAATACTGAATCTAGGGGAAGTTGTGCAGGTGGTCTATAACGGTTGACGTAAATTTGCGGACAGATCGATTAGTGCTCCGTAGCGGCGGTAGACATCTTGCTCCGATCAAGCACCACCATCACCATGGGATTTGGTTCCCTAATGCTTCAGATCTCATGGCCTTGAAATGTAAGATACAAATTGAGTTCTACTCTAACGCTCTATATACGAATTTCGTTACCCCCTTTTTGCCTTGCCCTCCCTGCAGCTCCATGCTACTCACCCTCCACCTTACCCCGGATTGTCGCGAAGACACCTCAAATGAGACCAGACCACGCTGACATGTATTCATAACAGCTGCGATCCGCAAAGTGCGGAGTAACCCTCACTTCCTCTTCGTGCACTTACCGCACATCCTCTCCTTCATCTGCATCGTCGCCGGCGTTGTTTGGCTCCTCCTACTCCCCCTCAACGATTACTCCCGACAGACCTACATCTCCGAGAACGCGCTCCTTCCGGGTCAAGTTCACGCCTATTTCTCCGGTAGCGAGCAACACATCTTCCGCGGGTACAAGAAGGAGCTAGAGGGAGTACTTGAAGGACAGACTGCTGAAGGACAGGAAGCGTGGAATGATGCTTTTACTCCTGCGTATGTTGCTGGAGCTCCGCACCGCCGCGAATGGGTGTACGGCATGAATACGATTTGCTGACTGGACGTATAATGCTGCTTAGTGTGTCGGATAAGATTCAATCGATTTTGAAAGCTACCGGATTGAAAGTCGCCACGCAGAACTACGAATACACGTCGTCAGGGATCACGCATCAGGGACAGAATGTCTACGCGATTATTCAGGCGCCACGAGGAGATGCCACCGAAGCTATTGTGCTCGTGGCGGCTTGGAAGACAGTGGAGGATGAATTGAACTTGACTGGTGTTACGCTTGCGCTCACGCTGGCGAGATACTTCAAGCGTGGGTGGCTTTCCTTGGCAGTTATGGATTGTGGTATGGTTTGCTAATTGGATGGAGAACAGGGTGGTCGCTGTGGTCGAAGGATATCATCTTCTTGTTTCCGCCGGACAGTAAGGCAGGCACTCAGGCATGGATCGACGCGTACCATGATATGCAGCCGGCGTTTGTGCAGCCCCTTCCCTTGAAGAGCGGTGCTTTGCAGGGAGGCTTGGTGATCGAATACCCGTTTGACCATCGCTTCGAGTCTCTGCATATCCTCTACGACGGCGTTAATGGCCAATTGCCGAACCTGGATTTGTTCAATACCGCTATATCCATTACCGGTGGGCAGATGGGCATCGGGACCAATCTGCAGGAGATGTGGGATCACGATGATAGTTACGAGATGCGGTTGCAGACCATAATGAGAGGAATGGTCAAGCAGGGCTTTGGCTATGCCACGGGACCTCACAGCAGTTTCATGCCGTATCACATTGATGCTATCACCCTCCAGACGAAGGGTGAAGGCTGGCAGGATGAGATGGCACTGGGCCGCACAGTTGAGAGTCTCTGCCGCAGCTTGAACAACCTCCTCGAGCATCTGCATCAGAGTTTCTTCTTCTATCTTCTCATGCAGACCAACCGTTTCGTCAGCATCGGCACATATCTCCCCAGCGCGATGCTGATTGCCGGTAATTTCACCATCATGGCAATCGCTCTCTGGCTCCGGACAGGCTACTACCCTGGCTCGCAGCAAGCCTCGAAGCCCACGGAAAAACAAGTCACAACCACGACCACAACTACAGAGAAGCACGACGACAAACAAGCACCACCCGCGAAAGCAGACGCCAGTAACAACATCATAGAACGTCAACTGGCCCTCCCGCTCACTCTCGTCGTCAGCCTTCATCTCCTGGGTCTAATCCCCCTCTACATCTTCAACAACATCCCCCACCAGGTCCGTATCCCTTCACCCCTCCCCTATGACAACCCAAACTCCTCACTAACACAAAACGCAGTACTACTCGACAGCAACCTACACCAGCATCCTCGCCAACTTCATTCTTCCCCTCCTCCTCTCCGCCACCCTATCCCACACCCTAACCCCCCACCCACAACAATACCACCTCATCAAATCCTTCTCCCTCCTCATCCTCGGCCTCTTCCTCTCCACCCTCGCAACCCTCAACTTCTCCCTCTCCTTCATGGTCGGTCTTCTCTGCGCCCCGCTAAGCTTCATCCACCGCATCAATCCGCAAACCACCTCCCGTCCACTCAGATACATCCTCAGTACGCTGGCCCTAGCGCTATTGAATGTGCTCTCCCCGCCTGTCGTTCTGCTCGCAGCGTGCTGGTACTTCGGCGCTGATGTCGAGACGGTATTGACGCAAGCCGCTTTCGGGTGGGATGTCTGGGGCGTATGGACGCAGGTCGTTGTCTGGTGTGTTTGGTGGCCTGCATGGGTGGCCGGGTGTGCATTGGTGGGATTCTCTCTGTTCTCGTCCTGATTGAATGAGAATAAGTTGAGTTTATGTTTTAGGGGTCGGATCAGGGGCAGCATAACATGACTGATAGGTAGAAGAAGTCTTATGTAGGGGGAGGCAAGGATGGATAGATCAATAGTTCGTTGTTTCTCTTTCCGTTTCTGTATTATAATAGGCATGCATTTATGTATGTATAGGTTGAAAATTACATCATATCAGGTGTTATTGTGAATGTGAGTGTAAAGAGAGCTAGAGAGGGCTTCGTAGATCTCAATTATAATGCAATTATAATGAGGTTCTAGTACTTGTTCGTACATACATGCATGGTAAGTCTTTTACCCATCAGACAGGACTAATCATAAGGAACAGAAGACGAGATATAAGAGATAGAAAATGGGACCTATGCAGCCCACACATCCTTTCCAACGCCCTCGATCCAGTGACCCAGCTGGTTGACACCAGCATCCCAATCCTTCAGACGGTTCCGCATGCCCTCGATCTGCTTCATGTCCAAAACCTTCGGCTGCACCCAGTTGATCTGGGCGACCTGAGCCACCTGATCAATGGCACCCTTGAGCAGACCCAGCGAGAGCGCCTTCATGATCAGATGCTCGATCTCCTGGGGCTTGACCTTCGTTTCGGCGGAGATGGACGAGAAAGTCAGGTTGCGGTCGTGCGGGGGCCGACGGAAGACCATCTCCGTCAGCGCAGACAGGGAGATCTTCTGGTACAGAAAAATGCGGTGTTGCTCGAGCAGCTGGTTCTTGGAGATGTTTCCGGCGAGGACGTCGTAGGCGGTCAGATCGCCGCGGTTGAAGGCGAACAGGAGCTCGCGCAGCCAGCTGTGCGGCGTCTCGGTGAGGGAGTCCAGGATCGGGTGCAGGAGGAGTTCACCGAAGTTGTAGATGGTGTCGGAGACGAGGGCGGCTACGCTGAGGTTGTATGCGCGGGAGATGCGCTCGGCTTCGCTGAGATCCTCGAGGTTGATGCAGGCGAGGTAGAGGAGGGCGTTCTTGTAGAAGGAGGCGAATTCTTGTTTGGCCTGGTGGATGGGGGAGAAAGGTTAGTGAGGTCTGAGTGGCGGGTGTGGGGGGAACATACGTGGTAGTAGTCCGCGTTGACCTTATAGAAGGATGCGTGCACCACGGTCTCCACGGAGTCGAACGTGTCCAGCACTTTCTGGCATGTCTCCAGGTCCTTCTGCGCACCGTTCAGGTCTTGTAGCCGTTGCTTGACGTTGGCGACATCCGCGAGGGCGTAGATGTAAGCATCTTGTGACTCGGGCTTGTTGACTTTGTCTGCCAGAGATGTGAGGAAGGTGAGGCGTTCTTGGTCATCTGATAGCAATAGTGTTAGCGATGCCTTTGGGTTGCGAAGATCCAAATAGCGATTAGCTGGGATACGAACTTGAGCATTCTGTTGACGCCATCAACCCCAGCGAGACGAACTTGAGCTGATTGATTCTGTCGGCGAAGCTGAGGACGAAACTCTTGAATATCGGTAGTCGCTGAGCAGCGCTCTCTGGTAGACGGAAGAATTCAATCAAGGAATCCGTAAGCTGATGCCATAATTTGCGTTCCCAGTAATCTTCGAAGCTCAGGAAATAGGCCTGGCATTGCTCGGGAGCTTGCTGCAGCTGGTCGGCGAGGAAATCGGAGATCCGTTGGTTCTCCATGTTGGAGGAAGATTAGGAAATACGGTATGAGGTCTAGGATGAGATGGATGATAGACCGGAAGGAGGGAGAAGGAGAATGGGCGTTATGGGGGGAGATGGAGGCAGGGAAGCTGATCTGAAGTGGAAGCGGAGCTGGTCGTGATGCAGCGCCGTCGAGCTCGGGCGGTGAGGCACATGACATCCTACATCATCTTCCGTCCAGTGCAGTATAGTTATCGCAACTTCTCCGGCTTCATTTAGGGTGAGAACTAGCGTGTCCATTCATTCATTCATGGGCAGAAATTGCTGGTCCTATGCGAGCGTGTTAGCTGAAGGTGCCTAATCCGCTTTAGGGATCAACTTGGCGGCGACATTGGAGGGTCTACAAGAAGTATCCGATATGTCTCCGAACTTGCCTACTGTAAGCTTCTGGTCAGTCTGCTCAGTCATGGTCAAGCAAGCTATAAATATGGCTCTCTACACCCATCTTCCTCCTTACTTGTAGTTATCCCAAGATCTTTTCCCAACAGCAATTGATCATTTAAATCATATATAAATACCTATACTGTGATACCTAAGCCGAATTTCTACCTAGACATGGCAGAGCACACAGAGAGGAACCGTCAGTACTTTGAGTATGTGCACACCACCTTTTCTTTGCTTGATGATATCGTCTTATACTTTACAGCAAGCTGGCCAAGTCCTACACCAGCGACTTCAAAAGTATCCTGGAATCGATTTGCAGACTGGTGGATAGTCACCGTCCTTGGATCAGTGATGCATGGATCGATACGGAGGCTGGAAAGGGGCAAGAGATCAAGATGTTAGAGTATGCATGTGGGACTGGGCCTGTTTCTTTGGTAAGTTACTATGTCTCGTTCGCATTGCTATTGAAGTAGCATTGTCATGAACCGCGAGTTAATTTCATAGACATTGGCACCTTATGTCTCGAAGATCGTTGGACTCGACGTTTCGGATAATATGATTAGCGAGTACAACAACAATGCCAAAGAAGCGGGCTATGAAGACAAGATGGTCGCACTCAAGGGTGACCTTCTGGCTGAGTCTGCTCCGGCAGAGCTCTCAGGGCCCGAGTACTTTGACTTTGATCTCGTGGTTGTCAGCATGGCCCTGCACCACTTCGAGAGACCAGAGTTAGCCATGGCCCGCTTTGGAGAGCGTCTGAAGAAAGGTGGTGTGTGCGTAATCGTCGACATAGTGCCAGACGATCACCACCATGGCCATTGTCACAATGTTGAGCATGGCTTTGGCGATGCTGCGCATACGGTCAAAAGCCATGGCTTCACCATGGATCAAATGAAGCAGCTGTACGAAGAAGCAGGACTTGGCACAGGCTTCAAATATGATATTTCGAAGGAGCAGGTTGTATTCCGCAAGGAGGGAAAAGAGCATTTGAAGACCATATTCATTGCTCGGGGGCAGCGTGCGTGATAGCAAAGGAATAGCATGCCCTGCTTTGATGATTAGCTTAGAAATGCGATATGGCAAGCGTCACGTTCATTCAACAGCAATGCGATGTTCATAGTCCACGGTCTCTGCAGCAATTGACTATGTAGTTCTTGGTTGTTAGTGGTAGGTTCATTTGGATCTCGACATGACGATGATGAGCGCCTAGCAACCAATCAGAGGCTTTGAATAGTCAGACGCGCTCCGGTGTGAAATGCAGTGACGGCCATAACCACGCCTCCATAGCTAGATGTGTATGTAGATTTTGATGGCTGTAAGGTTCCATTCTTCTAGATACTTGATCAATCACTTTATTGTCTGACGGACAAGTAGGAAAGAGTTGGCCGACAATTGAAAGGTCGAGGGTGCTGTCCGAAAAAGGACTAGCGCCAAGTCCCGTGCCAACTCCAGGATATTCGGGACCACGACTTTCGACCAGCTGCAGTACAAGTCCTGACGTCGAGCTACGCTCTCTCCCCTCTCCTCACCATTGTCCATTGAAACACCGATCCGGACGCAGTTCGGTGGTCTCGTCCGTTTCATATCCAGAATTGAGACCATGCAGACGTCCCGGGCCGTCAATTCCGCCATGGGCGCCAGGGCATTTGTCCCCGCCCCCAAGATCCGATTCCAGATCCAGCGCCGGAATCTTCAGGATGTCGCGATCACTAGAACTGGAAAGCCGATTCTGAAGGTCCAGGGTGGCCGGTAAGGCGCATTGTCCTTGTGATGGAGCTCCGCGATGCTGACTAGTCTTTGCTACAGGTCCTCTTTGGGAGGTACATATCCCTCTTCTGCCGCGCCGGACTCACGCTGCCAGATGGCTAAAATTACTTTACTTTAGGTCACACCGCGACCGTCTTCGGTGCTACTGGTTTCCTCGGTCGTTACATCGTCAACAAGCTCGGTATGTTGGTCAATTGGTCGAGAGGGAGCACAGGAATTGACGCCTTCCAGCTACGCAGGGATGCACCGTTGTCGTCCCCTACCGTGAGGAGATGACGAAGAGACACTTGAAGGTCACTGGTGATCTTGGCCGTGTCAACTTCATTGTATGATCCGTCAGAAGTTGGGTGGTTTGGCTTGGCCCACTAATTGTGGTCTAGGAATACGATTTGCGCAACACCCAGTCCATTGAGGAGGCTGTGCGCCATTCCGATGTTGTCTACAACCTTGTCGGTCGTCAATATCCCACCAAGTCAGTTCTCCATAGGCACGAGAAGGCGATGCGCTGCTAATAACTGGACAGGAACTTCTCCTACACTGACGTCCACGTCGACGGTACGGAGCGCATCGTTGAGGCTGTTGCCAAGTACGACGTTGACCGCTTCATCCACGTCTCTTCCTACAACGCCAGCCGGGACTCTCCTTCCGAGTACTTTGCGACCAAGGTCCGTGGATCGATCCGCCATAGTTACTTTCATACTGATTGTCGCAGGCCTGGGGTGAGGAGATCGTCCGCAACATCTACCCCGAGACCACCATTGTCCGCCCTGCGCCCATGTTCGGTTTCGAGGACAACCTCCTCCACAAACTCGCTCGTGTGACCAACCTCCTCACATCGAACCACATGCAGGAGCGCTACTGGCCCGTTCACGTATGTTAAGAGGTTGACCTTGTTAGGATTGAGCTAACATGCATAGGCCATTGATGTCGGTACTGCTCTGGAGCGCATGCTGCACGACGACAGCACCGTCGGTCAGACCTTCGAGCTGTACGGTCCCAAGAACTACTCCACGGCCGAGATTGCCGAGCTGGTCGACCGCGAAATCGTCAAGCACCGCCGTCACGTCAACGTGCCCAAGGCCATCCTCAAGCCTCTGGCTTACTACCTGAACAAGTACCTCTGGTGGCCCACCATCTCCGCCGACGAGGTGGAGCGTGAGTTCATCGACCAGGTGATCGACCCCAACGCCAAGACGTTCAAGGATCTCGACATTGAGCCTGTCGACCTCAGCACCCTGACCTTCCACTACCTGGTAAGCACCCCTTAACTAAATCAATCCTCTCAGAAACTAACAGAATGCAGTTGGGTTACCGTAGCGCCTCGTACTACGATCTCCCTCCGGCCACGGAGCGCGAGAGACAGGAGGAGAAGAAGTACCTGCACGTTCTGGACGACCAGTAGTCTGTTTTTTTTAGTGTACATAACCTACTAGACCCAAATTTCGTTTGTTCCGTCACAATGTAGCTGTATTACTCAGTAGAAAGAATAGCCGCGGCATCTCCGCATCCGTCCATCCCACTTCACCACAACAACCCCCCTCACTCTCATCTCGTCCACAACCACACCCACACCCACACCCCCAATTGAATACAAATTATCACAATGCCCTCCCCAGAAAACACCAACAAACCCCCGATAATCCTCCTCAAAACCAAATCCACCCCGCACGACAACTACTCCGACTACTTCCACCAACCGACCAGCAACTACACTCCCACCTTCATCCCAGTCCTCTCACACAACTTCCACACCGAGAGACTACGCTCGATCCGCGAGCTCTTCACATCCGGAGCCCTCCTCCCCCCTCAATCCCAAGAGGAGAAGACCAAGAAGAATGACCGAAAATACGGCGGATTGATCTTCACCAGCCAGCGCGCAGTCGAAGGCTTCGGGAGAGTACTTGCTGAACTTGACGATGGTAAGAATAAATTCACCCTAACCCCACCATCACCACCACCACCACAACACCACATGACCACTAACAACAACCCCATGAGAAAAACACAGACAGCTCAGCTCTAAATACACTAAAAACCTCCTCCCAAAACCTCCCCATCTACACCGTCGGACCCGCAACATCCCGCTCCCTCACCACCACCATCGTTGACAAATACCTACCGCACGCGAGCATCCACGGCGCAGATACAGGGAATGGAGAGGCATTAGCGAAGTATATTCTCGAACACTATAATTCTCTTTATACCACTACTACTACTACTACTACTACCACTACGTCAAATCCCAATGGGGAAGAAGATGATGTATACAACAACAACAACAAGCACAACAACAACAAGCCACCGTTACTTTTCCTCGTCGGTGAACAACGACGGGATATTATCCCGCGGACACTGATGAATCCTGATCTCCCTCCGGGGGAGGGTGTTGGTGTTGATGAGGTGGTTGTGTATGAGACCGGGGTGATGGAGGGGTTTGAGGAGAGTTTTAAGGGGGTGATTGAGAGGGAGAGGGAGGTTATGAAGAATATTGTTACTACTGAGGAGGGGAAAGGGAGGGTGGTGTGGACGGTGGTGTTTTCGCCGACGGGGTGTGAGGGGATGTTGAGGGGGTTGGGGTATATAGGTAGTGAGGATGGTAGTGGTTGGGGTTGGGGGAAGGTGGATGGGGATGGGGAGAGGAGGTTCTTTGTTGCGACGATTGGGCCGACGACGAGGGATTATTTGAGGAGGGAGTTTGGGTTTGAGGCGGATGTTTGTGCGGAGAGGCCCAGTCCTGAGGGGGTGGGGGAGGGGATTGAGAGGTTTATGAGGGAGATGATGAAATCTTCTGAGGAGACTTAGGTGTGGTGGGTGTTGGTGGTGTAAGATACATGTGATGTGTATATATATACCCTTGGCTTAAGAAACTTCGTACCACTCTATATCAATCGCTAACGTAATGTATATTCAAGCTGGACTATCGCTGAAACTGCACGCCGCTTCCACATCAACATCAACAAGAATCTCGAGATGCTGCAGTCATGACTCCCTCACATATGGGCTATTCGACATATTACTGCGTACAAGGCCAGCGCGCTGAGTGCTGCTGCCTGTTCTCTATGCATCATGGGTATGTGCTAAGCCAACTCCGTCCATCATGTCAGGCTCCGCCTTCGTTCCATGTCGGGTGGTATATCAATTGCATTCATCGACTCGTGAAGCCTTTACCGCATAATCTCCTCGTAGATCAGGACTGCGCATGTTAGTATCCAGACATTCTCAAAGTAGGCGGTATTACTCACGCTTCAATTGCTCCTTGCTGAGTGCATCCTTGTTCTTGTCGAAATCAAAGAAGCCTTCGGGGATCGGGGGCGCCGTGGGCTCATCATCGGGGTCATGGTAGGGCTCAAGGTACGGATGACGCAATGCCTCTTCAACAGTGATACGCTTCGCAGGGTTGAACGCCAGGAGCTTCTCCAGAAGGTCCAGCGCCAGCTCGTTGCTCTTAGGGAACATTGCGCGGAAGGGGATCTTCTTCTTGAAGGGAAGTGAGCGAATGTACTCCCGAGCCCGGCGAGACTTGATGCCGTAGTAGTCTTCCATGGTTGGTGTGCCAAGGACATCAAGGATCAGAGTCAGTTGGTGGTGGTAGTCCTTTCCGGGGAAAAGCGGCTTTCCACTCAGCATTTCTGCCAAGATACAGCCGACACTCCAGACATCGATCGCCTTGGTGTATTCCTTAAACGTCAACATAATCTCCGGGGCACGGTACCAACGCGTCGCAACGTATTCCGTCATGAAGCCAGAGTTGTCGTCGGTCGATGCGGCTGACCGGGCCAGACCAAAGTCACAGACTTTCAGGTCGCAGTTTGCGTTGAGGAGAAGGTTGGAGGGCTTGAGATCACGGTGAAGGACGTTGGCGGAGTGCATGGCCTTGAGCGCACGCAAGGTTTGGTAGATGAAGTATTGGCAGTGGTCATCGGAGAGGTCCTGGGTACGAATGACCCGGTGCATATCCGTTTCCATCAGCTCCTAGATTCGTCAGTTTCATCTTATCTAGGCTCTGCAATGAGCGTACCTGAATCAGATACACCTCGTTGAAGCTCTCATAATTCCGAGGCCTCTGGATATCCAGAATGGAGATGATGTTCTCGTGGTTGAAGTAGCGCAGCAGCTTCATCTCACGCAGAGTCCGCAAGCAGAACATCGAGTGGTCGAAGGGAGTGATCTTCTTGATGGCGACCTTCTGGCCAGAGGGCTTGTGAATAGCAGAGCTTCGGTTCATTAGTACGCCGCCATCATTTACATATGAGCAACTCACCAAACGACACCGTAAGCTCCCTCACCAATAACATCCTGGATCTCATACTGGTCGGACACGTTGAAAGAGATCTTGCGCGACCCCCCTTGAGGAGGCATTTGCTGCACCATGTTTGCGGTTGTGTACTATCAAGTGTCAGTCGCAGTCAATGAGCGTATATGCTGCAATCAGTAGTGTTGGGCCGTGTTCTCATTATACTATCTCATCACATCTCATGACACCCTCTGAAGCGACAAGGTAGGCCCGTCACATGCAGCAACAAGATGGCCTATTGAGTAACACCGCGACCCACCACATGTTCAAGCAACAGACACCAGGCTAGCGCTTACAGGAGGGCTCTCGATTAGAAGTTGGTTATGCTGGGAGGCTAATAACCGCCAATGCGCATGCTACGGCGAGAGTGGTAGACGAGTGACAGTCGTTCGGGAGCTGTCAAGGATCGGAAGCGGGGTACAGCGCGTCTGCAATCGAAACCACGGAGGACCCGCAAGTAGCCGCCAGGAGTTTCGGAGGCGCCTGTACGTTCGGGATGTGAGGGATTCAATGTAGAATCGGGAACCAGTAGCGGTTGGTCGTGAGGCAGACTGGGTGAGCCGCTCAGCAAGGACGTGCGGTGGATATACAGTAAGTGATGACCTAAAAAGGAACTGGGGGATGTCAATGAACCGATCCAACACGAGCGAAGAGAACCTTTTGTAATACCCAGGGCAAGAGGTAAGATGTCGCTGAAAAGGAGATAAACTTACCAATGTTGAGGAGCTATTTTCACACTCCGTCTGGCGTTTCACAGTTCCGTTCTATTTTTAATTCCGTTGTAAGGTGAATCCCTCGTAGCTTGCGCTATGCAACCGCGAGTCAGTTTCAAAGGGTTCTTTGAGCTTTCTCGAATAGGTAGTGGAAACACACCAGGGGCAGATCGGAGAGGGGGGAACACAGAAGAGAGTAAGCGCAGGAGGAGGGAGAAAAGACAGCAGGAGCAGTTCGAGGGGATGTGGAGAGGGGATGGAGAGACACAGAGCAATAGTGAAGGCAGTAGTAGGAAGCAATGAGGAGACTAGCGTACGTAGTTGGAAGTTAATAAACCGGGCGCGGATCGGCCAGAGTGGGGTGGGGCTGGATGAAGAGGATGAAGAGAAAGAGAGAGAGAGAGATGAAAGAAGAAAGAGGATGAGGGAGATGGGTAACAAACAGGAACTTGACAACAATAGCTACAATAGATGAATAGAGATAGAGAGAGAGGGAACAAGTGTTCTTGGGCAGTGAATGCGTGGCCTCTCACTTCTTTGAAGACGCAACACAGATGAGGGGGAGTGTGTGAGAGAGGGAGAGAGAGGGACAGAGCGAGAGAGCCTACCAAATCTCGGGATGCTCCAAGAAGACCCGGAAAACGTGGAGCAAGTTATCGATAGAAGGCACCGACCCAAGGAACGACACTCGATAGCAGATAAGCCACAAGCTGTAGTTTTAGGGAAGTTTGAAGGGCCAGGGGGGAGGAAGTTGAAATTGATAAATATAGCACTTGAACCAACAATGGAGAAACTACTACTGCTAACTATGACCACCAACAAACACCCACCAGTGGGAGAGGCCGAAAGTTAAGGGAAAATCCATCTTATCCAGTTGGAGGCGAGATGGCCTGAAGCAACTGGCAGCGAGACAGACCAACTGGTTAAAACAAGACTATTTGGTTACGGTACGGTACGCGTGCCTGATCCAGTGTTTCTATCACTTTCAAGTTCCACCAGGAACATCATCTCCATCATCACCATCTAGACTATCATCAATTAGATGAGAGATATCCTACCTTGATTGACTATAAATTAAACTATACACCATATACAATTCAGTCCCAAACTCAATAATATTTTTACCCATATCTCCCATCAATCCCAAACCCGTCTCTCATCTCTTCATCTCACCTTAGTTTTGACCCATCTCATACCATTTCTGGCCCCCTCCTTCTACCCAAACTAACCCCATACTAACTATGACTACCACTTACTCTCTTCCAAGCAAGAAATCAAAATGAGCAACTCCGTACAACTCACCAACTTACTCCATACAGTAGGAGACAAGACAGACAGACCCGTCACTCGCAACAGCCTCACAGTCGATCAACCCCGTCCCCTCCTTACATCCTGTCATCTTAACGTGGCCGTCAATCACCCACACCCTAGAATGAGCCCCTCCCCACCCCCCTCCTCTAACTTCTGAGGCTACGTCTCGACCAGTGTTTCAACGCCTTTTTCTCCGCCCAGACGAGACACACCTAAACAGTCAGATACTACTACCGCCACGGCGCCAAAACCGCAACCCAACCCATCCCTCAGTTTCACCTCACCCCCCCACCAGCTCCAACCAACGCTGCCAATCTGCTAATCACATTCCTTCACACTACCTACCTACCTACCTACCTATCTACTTGGTTTCCTTTCCCGCACAGATAAATTTAACCACGGAGGGAAGGGAGGGGCGCAGTACATACCCCCATCAATCAATCAAATCACACTACGCTACTTTACTTCATCTCATCACATAAGACTAGTCTACTAAATTCTCGTCACATTCTCCCTACACCTAGCTCATACTTCTTCGTGCCCTTTCCGCGGCAAGCAAGTGTCCATTCTCCCCACCCGATTCGTCCAGCCCCTGCCCTGTGATCTAAAGTTTATGGTGCAGGTCTTGTCACAGACTCCTAAGTACTCCGTAGTAGTAACTTAGTTTTTATGTGCAGTGGTTGGGGAAACCTTGATTTTCTTATTTTTTTTTTTTTTCCTTTAGCACGGGAAGGAGAATCTACCTACTACTTAATTCTGAGGAGAGGGAGTGGAGACAACTACTTGCTGTGTATGGACGGGAAGGGAAGTAAGTCTGTGCCCTGTCGGTGTGGTGATGGCACATGTGGGTGGGTATATTTCGGAATGGAAATGACATGGCCATTGCCGATGGATGGTGGTGAGACTACTACTGAGTATGTATAGAGTCTTTTATAATTCTATGAAGAGAAGCGCGGGGTTTAAGGTATAAGGTATTATACTTAGACTACTCCGCAGTACTCAGTACTAGTAGATAGAGAGAACCACGGACTAAATGGTTTTGGCCGTCCATTTTTTTCGTTTCTTCCCATTGATTGAACCAACAGCCGGAATAAGTTACAACATCGCCAAACAGACAACAGAATCCATGGGGAATGTATGGTGGAATTTCTTCCATATAATTTACCAAAAACAAAGGAAAATGGAACAAGGATAATTCGAAAAAAGAAGAAGCTTTATCATTACTGAACAACCTGTAGGCGTGTTCAAGCTCGTCAGCCCGATCTGACTCCCAAGTATGTGAAAACGAGGTGTCCAATGCCGGCAGAGGTAGAGCGCTTATGAGGGAGGGGGGGGAGATAAAATGGGGTGATCAAACCTTTTCCCGCAGCGAGCCCATCCACTGCACCAGGCTGACGCTCTGGTCAGCACGGTCCTCAACCAGCATGGTCTGCGCCCATAAGCGAAGTCCAGGCTCTCCGTCCTCCTTCACCACATACAGGTGTGGCACCACAATGCTGCCCACGCCCTTCGACCGGTGATCCCGGCTCTTCTCGATCACCGCCCGCACCCGCTGGTTGAACTCATTGTCCACATCCGGCAGGTTCTGCTTGCCCACGCGGAGTTGCGACTTGTCTTGCAGGCCAAAGACATCTTCGATCAGCTGGGGCACCGCATCGCGTCCAA